ACAAAATGTAATACAAAACGTTAAGAGAAAGAAAAATTTACAAAAAAAGACGTCGAGGCAACATGAAATTTGCCGCTCTTCATCATTTCTACCTTAATAAATCGTTTATTTATATTTTATTCTCTACACAATATTAAAAAATAGTAACATGAACAATTTGATGACATATTATTGTCTGAATATTTATGATAATAAAAGTATATATATATATAGTGTTCAAAAACTAATAGAGTACTTATACCCGTATAGAATTATTTATCAATAGGTTAACAGCAGCTATATATAGTTAAAAATCAATACAACTTGTTTTAAGTAATAATGATTTACCGATATTTAATGTTACTCATTTTTTATTAATTTTTTGTTTTTATACTTTATTATTATATTGCTATTATTGACTTTTAAAACTACAAAATATTGGGTTTTTTTATCAACATCAATATTTTTTTATGTATAATTAAATATATATGTAATTTGGTATGATACCAAATTACATATTATAAGGCAAAATTATTGTTCGAACGATTACCTAATTGTGTTTTTAAACCTGATAAACATTTTTAGCTTCGATGCGAAGCTCAGAAGGTATTGGTTTTACTAAGATGTGTTTTTTTTTTGTGTCTGTTACCACTTTTTCTCAGCTCTCACCAAACAGATTTCTTTCAACGATACGTCAAAAGATCACAAATCGTATCTAGTCAAAGACATTACCCTTAAAAATTGAAAAAATTTCCCTCGTTCCCCGTAAATGGGGGAAACCTCCAAAAAAATTACAAATTTAAAAATCGCTAATTATCAAAATTTTTTCAATTTTTTTTACTAAAAACTGCCGTAACTTTTTCAAAAATGAACATATCAATATAATTTTTTTTTATATAGATGCTTGATGTCTTTACCTATCATTTGGTATATTTTTTTTGTAAATTTGACCCTTAACCTGCCCACAGGGGGGGATTTAAAATGACAACTTTTTCACAAAAAATTAACTTTTTCAACTTAACTTTTGAAAATGTTCCGGAAGGTCTGACACTTTTATATATATCTTAAATTAAAGCTAATGTAATGTACTTTAATTTGAAAAAAAAAAATTTGACCTCTGGACTTGTCTTCATGGTGAAAACGGCTACCGAATGCTATTTTTGTGTGAAAATTCTCGATTTTAAAATTTACATTTTTTAATTTAAAGTGCTATAACTTTTTGAAAAATATTTGGATTAATACAATTTTTTATGAGAAATAATATTTTTTAATTATCTCTTTTTCATTTTACATACTATATCTTAATCAGGATACGAATAAGGAACTAGCAGATCATGTAGCTTTTGGAATAATACACCAATATTTTAAAATTAAACATCGAAGCGTTTTTTTTTTATAGTGATTTTAATCACTGTCAGATATCATTATACTTGATCCAACTATGCAACGTCACCACTGTGCCGCGACCCCCCTGTGCTGGGTTTTTTTTTTGCTCATTCCTATTATTTATACGACCAACACATCCTGAGTAGTTAAGTAATGAAATGATTTCGGTTTCTATGAAATATTTACCATATCTAGTAAGTTAATTGATTTATATCAAATTTTTTTAAGAAATTGTAAAGTTATTAATTATAGAAACCAAAAGTAATATTAGCGATCTATGCGATTGATAAGTAATCCCTCACAAGATTGTCTGTGAAAGTTTAATTAAAAGTATATATTTATAATTTGTACATCATTAAAGATTATGTTTTATTGCTATGTGTCCCACTTAATGACCCAAAATATTTATTGTTTATGAAAAATAATATAAATAAAATACTTATATTTCATTATGTCCTAAAACAAAAATTTATTTTGATTGGATGTGTATTATTCATACAATGAGTCAGATTCATTTGCCCAAAGTCTAGGTCGGATGAAAGGATTAAAAAACTACATCTTACGTACATAAATGTAGGTGTAAGATAGTTGTGTAGGCGTTGGTATTAGATTATAATTTAAGTATATGATATAAATATTGAATTTTTTATGTTATTACAACACGAATCTAAAATGAATTTCCGTTTAAAGAATTGAATTATTCTATACCGTTAAGTACATATAAGTAGGTACATAATCGTATCCAAGATAATTGAAAGAATTCAATTCAAAATTTTTACTTTAAAATTTGAGGAAATCAAAGTAAATATTTAATATTATAATAATAATATAACAAAAAATGAAAAATTATCGATAATTACGTGTTGTTAATACAAAAAACTTGTTTAAAAATAGTCTTTAACTTACCTAATGTAATTTACTTTTTAAATTACATACAAAACTATATAAAAAAGTAAAAATAAAACAATAGTCATACCCCATACAGAGACGAGGCATAATGGACACCAGTATAGCATTGATATATGACGGTGATTAAAATCACTATCATAAAATACACTTCAACTTGAATTTGTAGATAGTATTTTATTTTTAGTGGGCATTTTTGGATTCTAACCAATACAGCATGAACTATCTTTTTTAAATATATTTCAGTCATGTTACAAAAAAAAAACATTTTTTTTTGTTTTAAACAGTTTATAATATTAAAAAATTCGACTTTTTAAATTTTTTTTTTTAAATCATTAATTTGTAAATATTAAATATAGATAATATATGCAGGGTGATTGATTTATTGTTTAGTAGTTTGAGTATTTATGTATAAATAGTTAAATATTTTTAAGTACAAACCTTATCTCTTTTATGGGTACCAATTAAATTTTTTAAACTTTCATAAAAAAACTTGTTTATATAGTAAAGACTAAGAAAATGAGTGGTCATTATCAATTTTGGAGACAGTATATTTGACTGAGGCGTGATACAGGATATGTTATTTTTATCATTATTCAACACTTCCTCCCATTCTGGTAAAAATTGTTTATAAATTAAAAACTTCACCTCCAGTCTATACAAGTTTTAATAATTTCTAAAATACTAGTTCAAAACTTGGTTCCTATCGACAAGTTATTTTGTTAGTTGGATCAATTTATAAATATCATCTATTTATTTATTTATATATATATAACAATTTATAAAAAATTGGTACTCTTATAAAGATCAAAAAATATTTAATCACTTATAGATTGAGAAATAAATACTACATAACAAAGGCATAAATATTTTTTCAAAATTATTATTATTTAAGGATAAATTTAGTGATAAATCAATAACCCTTTATATGACAAGGAAATCTAATAAATTAAAATAAAATAAATTTATTTATTTAAATAGTTATAGTTTTAAATAATCATTATGAACATATAAAACATAATAATAACAAACTTTTAAAACATAACTTTGTAGTCACTAAACTTATTATAGTAAATGTGACTATTTATATATATATATATATATATTAGTAACTATTTCATTTATTTTTGATTAAATATTATTTCGTTTAACAAGATTTTTAAAAATAATAAATTATTATCGTGGTAATAGTTATTCTGTGCTTGAACTATAGACAAAATTTTTAAAACATTTTCAAAAATTTTACTTTTTATATGTATATATCAAGTTTTGAACCCTTATGAATAAGAAAAATAGTCATATTTAAAATGAAAATATGTTGGGTGAAGAGATATAGAGTATTTATAAAAAATATATTGTATTGATCGATACATTTTATCATAAAGTTCTAGCAATATAAAATTGACTCTTTTAAACACAGAAAAAGCATGTTTTTTAATTAAAAGATAAGGTGATGGAAAGTATTTTTATTTTAACTTATATTATATAACATAAGCTTTAATTTAAAACATATTATAAAGAAAAAAAAGTTTTTTTATATACAGTAAAACCTTGTTAATCTAAACTTTATTATGTACAATTATTATGACATTAAATTATATATTAAGTATTATGATGAGACAGGGTTATATTGAAGAGCATTGCCCAAGCGTCTAAAGTTGTTTAATGTTTTGGTTCTCCAATATAACCCTGTCTTGTTATAATTATGCATAAATGGGTTCTATTAACAAGATTTTACTGTACCTCATATTAATACATTTTTCTCATGTAGTAAAAATATTATAGTATTATCATTCTATACATGTAATTAATGAAATTCATTTCTTACTTTGATTTCTATGATATACACACTTCTAAAATGATAAATCTGTTTTTTATGTTAAACAGTTCAAGATCAAATGTTATGCAACTTCATATCATTAAAAAAAATCTTATTATCCTGCATTAAGATAATACATACAGTTTAAAATAAAACATTTTTAACTTACTCATACTGTTTTTAAAATAACTATCTTTCCAAAACAAAATAAATATCAAAAATTACTAAAAATTGAACTACTTCCATTTAAACATAAAAAAAATTGGAATAAATTATGAAAATATTAAAAAAACTTAATGTGACTTTTACAATCTTGAACTAGAATTTGAGTATATTAGTAAACTACATTTTTCAATAATTTAGTTAATTTATAATATTTTTAATTTTAGCTAAATTATATTTCTTTTAATTTAATGATCCCTTAATTTTAAAGTGAAATTTAGTATTACTAATAAAAAATAATTGTACCTATGATAATGAAACTGAAAATTTTTTTTAAAAATTGTAGTAAAAGGTAGACCTTAAAATGGCTTACTTAAATTTAACATGTACATTTTTATTATTTTCAATATTATAATTTAAAAAAAACATGAAACTATGGCTTTTCTTTATTTTGTTGTATTTTAACAAAGTACAACCAACTTTTATGTACACACTCATATGTAAATAATATATACATTTTTATTATTATGAATTCATTTTTATTATTAAACATACTATACACAATTAAGCATATTAAAAATATTTTTACCATTTTATGAAAAATTAATTAGAATATTTTATATTATTACTAAGAATTATTGAAATAATAAAATTATAAAAACAATCACATTATCAACCCAAATACGGTAAACCTTCTAGAATCTATGTTACCACATTTGCCAACAGTATTTTTAAATAATCGTAAATATAAAAACAAAAAAAAAATGCTTTATTCATTGGGCAATTTGAAAATTTATATATCTTTAAACACCTCTTACAAACCAAATATTTATTATTGTTTACATAGGTGGTTCTTGTCCATTAGCTTCTTGATTTTTCATAACATAAGGTAATTCAGGGGGTGATGAGTATGGTACCATATCTAAAGCTTCAAAATCACCATCTTCCGTTCTACAAAAATATACAAATATTATTTATCATAATTATCTATTAATATAAAACTAATTTACCTTAATGCCAAGCCAATAATAGCAGGACTTTGTGCTTTAGCAATACTAGAACTAAGACCACATTCTGATAATGATTTAGTATCATCCATAACTTCGTCTTTATAGTACAACTGTTGATTTTGTGGAGGTACTTTTATAATACCTATAAAATAAGATTATTGTTATTATTAATTAGTAAAATGTAATTTTTAAATATTACTGTTAAATTAATAATGCAATTTGAGAAAACATTTTGATGATTACTTTTTTAACAAACAAAATAAAATTATTTAAATATTATTTAAAGAAAAATTGAATTTTATCTAATATTTTCTTATATAAAACTACAATACAATACAATATTAAGAAAATAAATTAAATTCAAACAGATTACACTTTCTACCCCAAATAAAATAAAAATACAAACCTATAATATATATATATATACATGTATATATGAATAATTTAATAAAATAAAATATTTTTTTGTTGATATAAATGTTAAATAATAAGTCTTAGAAATTATAGTTTGTTTAAATTATTTGACATACATGAAATGATTTTTTTTAGTTCATGAACTGGTATATTATCCTTGGCGTCCGTAAATATAGTCAGCTTTTTTCGCTGAATCATCATAAAAGCGTCCTAAAATGAAAGCACATTAGGTTCGATTGAAATCAAATCCAACATATATTATACGTTACCATTATGAACGGCGAAAAAATAGTTTACGGATTTTAAATAATTATCTTGTAATATTAAACAATCATAATCAATATTAACTGAAAATAACAGCTAATAAAAAAATTATCTTTAAAATTAATCGGTTATAATTTAATGAGTACCTATACTTAAGAATAGAAGTCTAAATTAAATTTTACAAGGTCCGGAATGCTTTCATAGTATCAGTCATTGGCGTTATATTTGTTTTTGGTTATCAATTCATTTTATGCTGTCATCTGGTTTTGTCAGGTTGTGCAACGTACATCAAGTAATTTAAAACGTTTTATTATTTTGAATTTAACACGGTAATAAAAATTTTCTAAATACAAATAGTTTCAGCTAACCTAAGATAAAATTAGTCCTTTATGAAGTAGGCGATTTTTCAAGTGATAGAATTTTTCGAATTAATTAAATCTATAGGAATATATCAAATCATGAAAAAATTGAATATATTCAATAATTGATTCCAATAAGGTCAATAGTAATGTTTCGATATCATAAGTGACCTTTGTTCACATAAATGGTTGCATTTTAATTTTATGTTAAACGACATTTTCTCTTAACGTATTTTCTAGAAATATAAATAAGATGTAAATAAATGATTCAAAAGGGTTGAACAACGTCTAGATTTCAAGAATCTAGTCTATAATTTAAATTTTGTTCATTTATAATGTTATCTATTAAAGATTAAAAAAAATTAAATTTATATACTACAAAAATTTAACATCCAGTATTATAATTATGGACTAAATGAATATAAAAACTATTATGATAAAAAAGAATTATTAAATTATGATTTCTTTTGATATTTTAAAAAATGAACTATTATAGTTTATTATTTAATATTTTACATGTGATATGTTTATTTACATAATAAAGGTTATTGATATAAACGAAACTTTTAATGATACTTTTTTAGTTTTTTATTATTGATGGAGTAATTCATACACGTAATATTGAAGTTGTGAATTACAGTTATATTGATATAGAATAGTATGTCATTTTAGTAATAGAGTGCGTAAGTGGTATAACCTTATCAATAAATACTTTGTTTTCCAAGAGTATTCGGGTGGTATCTATGTAATATGGCGTAATGCTACAAGGAATAACATAACAATAAGGAGTCGTGAGCGGTCAGATTAGCTAGCCTGTGGGTTTGTTGTTACCTGTCGCTGTGTTGATCGACCATAATTGTACACATTTAAAACTATTAAAAAGATCCTTAAATCTACTGTTGGTGGTCTAACTCCATAACCATTACACCTCCTATCACACCTACAAAGAAATTGAAGAAATTCTTGTAGTTAGTACGTTAGGAAATTAATTGCCGGCATAACAGTGATGTATAACGTCGTCTGACAACAAGTAAAATCACCGAACATCATGGTTTCAAAGATAACTAAAATTTAAGCTGTAAAGATAGGTAAGTACTCTTTAAAGTAAAATATTTTACTAATAAGTTTAGAGCATAGATCTTATGCAAATTAACAATATTTTTTTTCGTTCTTGTTACATATTTTTTCTTTTGAGAAGGGATAGCGGGAAATGAGAAATAGTGGTTGGAGGGAAAATGTTCTGCTTTGATATGTATAATTTTTCTTTTGATAATAATTTTGGTTTATAAATTTTTCCTTAATTTTATCTTGTATTAGACATATAAACAAAAACTAAACCTATATTTTTTATTTAATATTTAAAACCTTATTTAATCAAAATATATACATTTTTTTCTATACCATTTCAAAATTTTATATCACTCAGCAAGTTTTAAAACCTGTTTAACTCATAGATTGGTTCATTTATCCATTATAACAAATATATTTAAATTAAAGTGTATGTTTTATGACCTAAAAGTTTCTCATTGTTTTTATTTCTTATTTCTGTGCTATATATACATAGAAAGAGATCTTAAGTCCTTTTTAAGTTGTTATTTTTTTGTAATACATAGTGTATTTTATGTAGAAAATTTAAATTTTCCAGTGAATAAACAATTAGTAATGTAATTTGTACCAAAAATTTTGTTAATACAGTAGGATTGAATTTAGTTTTTGTTGTGAAAAATATTAATTACAACTTGTTATAATCAGATAAGAAAATGTTTTAGTTACAAACTCACTGATGTTCATTCATTAGTAGTTCATTATTCACTGATGATGTTATCCTATATCAATTAATTTATTTTCTTAAGAAAATCAAATTAAATTCAAATATTTAAAGTATTTTGTTTTCAATACTCATATGATTTCCGTTATGCTATGCAATTTGAAATATCCTAGAAAAAAATGACAAGAAATTTATTATGAGAAGTTTTTAGTCGAAAACAACTATTATTTTAACCTTTTGATAAACTCTTGAATAAGGATCCCTTTATATCAAAAATTACTGAGTTCACATTAAAATGTTCTGAGCAGGATTGTTATTTCAACCTACACAAGCAAGACAGCTGCCTTGGACTAAAATTTTTGGGAACTATTAAAATACTCAAAGTGCAGCCTTAATTTTGTGTTTAAAGTACAAAGAAAAATTAAAAAATACTTTATTTGAATTTGGTGAATGAATAAAACTACAATTATAATTTTTTTTTAAATGGTTAGCATTTGTTGGTATGCTCAATGCAATTTATATTTTATGTTAGATATATAGACATTTTTTTATTAAGTTTTTATAATTTATTTTATAATGAAAATATTATGACACAAAGTAATTTTGTAATTATTATCAAAATTATTTTAATGAAAAATTTTAGGCGAAAATATAACTTATTAAAATTATGTAAAATAGTATGATTTCAGGTTCCTCTAATTGAGTTCATTATGTCTTGTTCAAAAATAACTGAGAAAGGTGATGAGGAACCAGAGGAAGAGGCTGATGATACTTTAGTTGTCGTCGTAAAACCTGATGGTACAGTTGCAATAGATCAGGCAACTTTTAATAGAGTGATGGGTAAATTTATTAATTCATATTCTAAATAATAATCTTTTCATTTTGTTTATATATTTTACATATTTTTTAGAAAGTAAAAAAGAAACTATGAATATCATTCATTTTGAGAATAGTAGTAACAAAGTTATTACTACTAATTCAGAAAATGGAGAACCAGAAATAAATTTAACTGTTCAAGGGTTTTATCCTTCAATATCTACTAAAACATTCTTGTCTCAAGGTGAGTTTATTTTCTTGAAAATGAATAAATGAACACCATATTTATGGAAATCTCTCAATTAATAAATAACACAAGTTCTCAATGACTGGTGAAATAGAACAACAACTAGAAAACAACAAAATGAAAGATTTTCTGTTGTCTACAATGAATGTATAAGGAATTTTGAACCTCTTCCGTAAATAATTTCAAATTTATTCAATCACATCTAGTTTTGAGATAATTACTTTTATTTTAAAAATTATTTTTATTTTTAAACATAAATTATACTTTAAAAAATTAATGTTAAAATAATTTATACAAAATTTGGGGCTTGTTTGTTATGTTAAACTGTTTTCATTGACCCTTAAATTTGAGTTCAATATTTATTTTTCAGAAAAAAATTTTGAGCTTTTCGCTGTAACTATTTGTGGATTAATCTCATAATTATAAAATTCCAACCAATAGATAGTAAACTTTATGAGAAATTCAACAATTTAATTTTTTTGTTTTTACATGACAAATAACCAGCAAAATAGCAATTACAAGAAAAAATATACCTAAAGCTCAAGAATTTGGAAAAACACAATTTTATTTTTATAAGAATTTTTGGTTTCAAAAAAATTAAGTCATGTATTAAGTCTTAAGATAATGTTTTTTTTTAGATTTTTCACTTTATGCAATAAAGTGTTTTATTAGTCTATATCTTATACCTTATTAGGGTATCAACTATATTTTTTTTAAGTAGCATCAACACTTCTTTACTAACTTAAAAAAAAATCTAATTAATAAAATGTACTTTTGAACGATTCTTTTAGAAGTTATAATCATTTTAAAATATACACTAGATGCAAGGGTTATATTATTTTTATTATTTTGCATTGCTTTTCTGTACTCATATTGGTAAATTATTAATGACTTAATAATTACTTAACAAATTACTAGTCAAAAAGTTACTATTGATTAGTGCTTACTTAATTAAATTATTTTCTATTTTATAAGCTAGTTAAATATGTATGTTATCATTAAAAAAAAATAAAGTTGACAACCATACTATGTATAAGAAAACCATACAATTTTTAGTAAAAATTGCTGATTTCATAATTTTTTGCACAGTAACAGAATACATACTTTATTCTAAATGCAAATTATAACACTTTTAATGTGACATTTCATTAGAATAATTTTATGATAACTTATTCTTTTTAAGTAAATATTCTCTTATGATACATATTTTTCAAATACATAACAAAGGCATTTACGACAATGATTTTAATCACTATCTGATGTAAATCAATACTATATCTACAAAATGCCTAAACTCCATTTTTATGTTGTTTGTATTATTAAAAAAAATTCTGTAACTTAAAGTTCAAAATTTATTTATATACTTGTGTCTAACAATAGTGTATAGTAGTAAATTAACAATATCATGTTTCAATAACTTGTATTAATAAAAATATTTATCCATTTTTATATAATCTCTTTTACATATTTATTATATTAAGATTCTAAAATAATAACATATGAGCCAGTCATTGTATCATGAGTAGAGTTTTAACATAAAAGATTTGTTTTTAATTTGATATTCTATTAAGTTGTTTCAGGTGATGGTGAAATAAATACTGATTTACTAGACTTAAATGCAGAACAATTAGAGCAGCTTGAAAGCTCCTTAACTGATGTCAACAAAATGATCTTTGGTCATGATGAGTCAAGTATATTAGGTATTTCAAAATTACAATAACAAGCAAACTACTTTAAAATTTTTTTTTTTATATCACCTGAAATTTTATTTAAAAATTGAATTTAGTGTGGTTCTCATAAATCCTACTCTTATTAAAGTTGCACTTCTCTAATCTAAATTACAAGTCATTATAATATGACATTTTTAAATAACACATTGTAGTATACTGTTACAGCAGTATAGAAAATAGGATTTCTTTTAAAATGAATGTATATTATTTCTTGATCTCAAAAGTTGGTCATTACTAAGTGTGTATATATATATATATGTAACATGACTTAAAAATTATTGTCACGATCATCTTAGATAGTGTTTCTTTATTTAGTTAGTTCTAAATTATTTTGTTTCACCCTCTGATCTTGTAATAATAATTAAATAAAAAATTTAAAACTTAATTTCACCTTTAGATATGTTGCACAATGAAAAAGAAGAACTACCTCAAAATCCCATTTATTTAGATCATTGTTATTATAAAGATTGTTCATCGAATACCTCTGTTAAAAAAAACAATGTTCTTTGTAAAAGTTCTATTCCTCTTGAAGTTCATAATGTAACAAGTGTGTACATAATTTAAATTACTTTATTTTGATATACTTTTATCGATCTTAAACTCATTATTACAGAACAACTTTTACAATCACAAATAGAAAATCAAGTTGAAGAAATTGAAGAAATAACTGTTTCAGGTTCAGGAAATGAATCAAATGATGAGTTGTCATCTACAATGATTGATGGTATTTTAAATAATTTCTGTAGTTTTGTTTTTTGAAAAAGTAACATATACCAGTAAATTTTATTAATATAAAATATAAATAAATTTTTATATATATATACAGGGTGATTCATTAAGGATAAGACACTCGTTTACTGAGTTTACTATTGAAAATTTAAAATTTTTGGTAAGAAATTATCTACCTGTATTTGTAATCCCTAGTGTATTATACATGTATATTAACTCAAAAATTTGAAACTTTAAGTGTTTATATCTAATAAACGAATAAAGTTATATTAAAAATTCAAATGTCATTTGCTATTAAATTAAAATCTCAAACATTTTTTTAAATTCAAAATATGTTTTCTCATTTAAAAAAACTCAACTTAATGTTTTTTAACCTTGAAGGGATGAAAAATATCATGTTTTTACTACATATTATTGTAGTGTTTTTTGAAACAAACAATATTTTTCTTACCAAAAATTTTAAGTTTTCAATAGTTACTCAGTAAACGAGTGTCTTATCCTTAATGAATCACCCTGTATATATTTTATAATATTTAAGTAGTATTACAACTTCAGAGTATTACTTAAAGTAAATATTAATTTTTTAATTAAAGTCATTTGGTAAATAGTGTGACTACTTAATTATGGCTCACACAATATCTATAAAAATATAAAATATAATTTTGTTCTTTATTTCAGATAATAATAGTATTCTACATTTTATAGTTTTCAAAAAAAAAAAAAAATTATTCCTATCCCACCCTCTTTACCCCATAAAATTTAACAAAGTCTAGTTTTGTTTAATGGAAACATATATAAAGTATTCAAAAAGTAAAATTCATTAAAATAAAATAATACAAATATAATAACCTATGCAAATATACTTTTTTTTAATTAATTGAATTCTAAATTTGTTTAGACACATGAGTTAAATAAAATTTTGGTTAACTTTTTTCTAAACAAATGATTTTATATATTAAAATAATAAATTGATTGTCATATTGTTTATAATTAATACAAGTTTAATAAGTAATGAGATAATATAATTTGAAAAAGTACTACTCTCATATAAAATAAACAACTATTTCTATTTAAGTATTTAAAAATTATTTACAAAAAAAAAAAAAAAAAATTAGGCACTGATGGTTATTTACGTAAAGTTTTGTTTTTGAGCTAGGTTAAACACTTTTTTTCTATTAAACCTATAATCATTTTAATTTATTTAAAATTTTACTGGTTAAATATAAATTATAATGACTATTTTAACAGTATAAAATAAAAAAATTGATTATAAATTTTTAGTATTGAAGTCTAATATTAATCCATCTCATAATTTATTGAATGATAATCAACCAGGTAACAGACGACCTCTCAAAGGAAATAAAATTAATGTAAGTTATAAAATTTGACTTTTTTTTTTTTTTTTTTTTTTTTTTTTTTT